ATATAATAATCCTATGAGAATCCAGCTCTTTCCTAGCACCCTGTTTACATTCGTCACTTGTTTATGAAGTACACATTATGTATTGTGTGATACTGATACATCTCATTACATTGATATTAACCCCGAGACTGCTTCGGAGTCGTACATGAACGGCTAATAATTAATTAAGCATTATTACTTTAGAAAAAGCAGTAGGTCTAGGTAGGTATCTAAAATGTTTATCGTGTATCCGGTTTACGGTTTCTGCAGATTAGCGATGTTTTCCCGATTGTTTACAACGGAAAACTTTATCGCCAAACAGGGAAGTGGGCTAACCTTGAACTGTCACGGTGACATCTGTCACGATGACAGCCCGGGCGTCGGCGCTGACGGCGGTGATTAATTACCGCGTAATTGATTTGAGCCGTGTCGTGTCGCGATCTGTTTTATTGACACCGCAATTACTCAGTTTGCTAAAGACAAACTTGGTAATCGACGCGAGTTCCTATGACCATTTAGGCACAATTATTAATCACTAAGTTCATTTAATTCGCAAGAATAATTAGAAAAAAAAAATAGTCAGTACATCTAGCATGAACAACTTTCGTCTTCGAATCGTTTGCGTATTCGATACTCAATCTTCGAATTAAACGATAACGTGACAATTTTGATTCTCAAAATAAGTTTCGTGCAACCACATCTCATACTAAGTTCACTTTACGACACGTTTACAAGGGCGTTGTTGTAGTTTTCTTACTAAATCTTTTGATGGCCATTCGAGTACGCAAACGATTTGAACTCGAAAGTTTTTCGTGCTAGCCGTACTGTTGATAAAACGTCTCGTCATACGTTGTGTTTTTGAGTTTTGTTGGTCAAGTAATTTGTTACACGGAAAATAAAGTTTTTGTAGAGTTCTTATATGAATACAAAATACTGTAAAAGCAGAAAAATACAAAAACTCACATCATTCATTTAATTTCCATTACATAGCTTTCCTTCAAACTAGAGTTTTATGAAGGTCAGTCAAGTCAGGTTTTATGAAGGTAGCGGTATCATAAAGCTCCAATTTTAAATACCGACTTATATCATACGATCTTAAGAGCCTACTTTTAATGGGCTTAAATTACATTAATGCATGATTACGTCAGAAGTTAATTCACGTACCTAAATATGATTAAAGCTCAATTTATTCACTCCCACTTAATGTCGACGTTTTATCGTAATCTCACCAAAAAAAATCGAGACGACATTAACGAAAGGCAATCTTTATCATATTTCGGACAATGAAAGCAGTCTGACAGTCGATGTCTTCATACCACCAGCACAAAAACAATGCCCTATCATTTTACACACTATTAAAAAGCCAACTTTACATCACATACAAAACTCAACCCTTTCGTTAATCAAAATAGAGTGAATATTCGCGTGGGGTATCGATACTGGCCCCATCACTAAAACGTCACATGTCAAAAAGCTCTACGTTTTGAACTAAACTTTAAGTTCATGAGTATACGCTTTGAATTGACATAACGTTCGCAAATGAACGGGTTATTATTGAATAACGATATCATAGTGTTGTGACGTGTCACGTGATTAATAATGGAGCGAGCTTGTCCACTCGGAGTTTTTTATAATTATGTTGATGTAGGTAACATGTAACGCTTTTAAGTTGAGCTGGGCCAAGAATATGATAAGTAGGTATCGGTTCAATTTGTTGTTTTTTGTTTTTATTTTAATTTTGTAAGTGTATTTTGATATTTTCTCAACACGATCTTTCGTCAAATGCTTAACAACAGTCAGATACTCGGACTTTGAACTCACGTGATGAAAAATTTTACTAATTAGCTTGGAAGTTTATTTGCTTTAAGTATTTATTGATCAATTATTGTATCTTCATAGGTAATGTAATTTAAAAAATAAGCTACAATGTCTCTTAACAGTAGCAACAAGCGCAATTTTTATTGTTACTGACAAAGAAGCTTATTAACACATTAAATGCAATATTTAATGACACAACTGTGGAGACCATTGCCTCGCCTCGAATGTTGCGTTAAATTAGTCAAAATCAAGAAAAGAACTATTAACAAATCATTTTTTTAAGACCGAACGGTCTTAATTCTAGACAAAAACAATAAAAGCATATCCACGCCATCGGCCGTACCTTACTCCCAGCAAATAGTTCCCTCGCACTATTAATCATTGGATCTGACCAGCCTGCTTCCGTTGCGGCGCGGGAACGAGACGCCATCATACAAAAACAACGGGTGAGAACGAGACGGCAATCAGCACTCGACAACTTAATTGAAAACAAGAGGGCCCATAGAGATGTAGATAGTCGATGATTATTATCGTTATGAAAAAGGCTTTTGATTTATTAAGTACGAATGCAACGCGATGCAGCAAAAGTTCAAGAGGAATAAAGTAATAATTATGGCTTAACGACACGCTGCCGCGTGTCTAGAGGGTAATAGTTTCATGTTTGTATCAATATTTGGTACTAGCAGTGCCCGCGACTTCGTACGCCTGAAAATTGCTCTGCACCTATTACTCGTAGCGTGATGGTATAATAGCCTATAGCCTTCCTCGATAAATGGGCTATCTAACACTGAAATAATTTTTCAAATCGGACCGGTAGTTCCTGAGATTAGCGCGTTCAAGTAAACAAACAAACAAACAAACTCTTCAGCTTTATACTATTAGTACAGATTCATAAAACTATATACGAGTAGGAATTGTTATAGTTTTTGCAACCTTTTTAAGTATTCTCTACATCGAATAACGATCAATAGGCTTCTATTAAAACTTATAGGTACCTAATCATAAAAGCAAGACTGCTGTAAGTAAATAGGTATCCTCATGATAAATATATAACTTTACAAGTATATAACTAATACAAAAATATTTAATCACAACCAATACCCGGGTAAGAATTGACGTAAGTTATTGAGATTTTATCGATAAACGAAAAATAGCTGCCCCATCACTAGAGGTATCAACTGAACCCATAACGCGTTATCTGTCCCGTCTCGAGCATTAACACGTCCCGGCTCATTATAATGCGCATCGTAGATAATTTTTCACTTACACCCAATAAAAGTGGTCTTATTCCTTTAATCCTAAGAGCTACAACAAACGAAATAAACCTATTTTATTGTTACAATACGCAACTGTCATCAGAGTCTATGAATAATAGTGTAGCTGGAAGTTTATGAAATCGAGTAACTTTTCATAGAAGATGCAAGCAAACTTAATTTCTTTTATGCTAAGAAAATGAAGGTTCCTTTCACTCTGGACATATACTAACTCACGACAGAAAATAGGTACCAAATTATGTCATTGTATTTTAATCTTCCTTATGTTTATATCTGCTCAAAAACCTAATCTAACCACTAATTTGTGGAGTAAAATGTTGTAGTATATTTTTTTCTACAATTAAGTATGTTTTAGTCTAGTAAAATGTTTGATTCTTTTTTACTCTGACTTGCTTTCTTGCTCAATCCCTATTTGGTCAGCTTTTTTCAGTTGGTATGAGTAGGTAAGTATTTTGATAATGTTGAAAAATTTATGAAACAGGTAATTTCCACGTTAAAGACATCTTTCAACCGACATATTTTTTTTATAATTCGTGAAAACGATTACCTACACCCTATTTATACTAGAACTAGCTTTAAGCCACGGCTTCTTCCGCGTGAATATCGATATATCACAGAAAGACTCTATCATGCATAATACCCTTTCAAGCCGTCCTATTTTCTTTTGTCTATCGGAATAAAACTATCGGATGGTCCGGTTCTTTTGTTATGGCTAGGCTTGAGCGTGTTCTTCATCAAATTAATTTTAATTTTAATGAAAAAAATTGTTTTTCTCATGCAAGCAATTTGTAATCATAATAAGAAATGAAGAATTTTAAACCGTATATTAAAATCATTTTAGAGTAGAAGATGAGAACGCTGGTCTTAATTCTGAAGCCAGACCTAATCTTCTCAAATATCAGGTTACAGTGTTAAGGGCATTTATCTACATAACTAAAATAATTATTAATGAAGATGTCACTAGAAAATAAGTGTTGTGCAATTCCTGCCAACCTCGAAACAAAAGAGATTACCGCCACTTGCAACCCCACTCTACATACTGTCTTGTCTCCTCTGTCGTACTTATAGTTATTAATATCATCTGAAGAACTCTCAATATTTTAAAGACTGCTTCCTTATTACCTACGTCCTTATCTTGAGTGAGGAAACTCTATTATACAAATGATAAGCGCAAAAAACGAAGACGTTAGCATGTATTTCAGGAAATAATTCTACTCATACTTCCGCTGTAAAATTACTCTTTCAGAATTAATTTATTTTTCGGGTTCCTGAAACTCTACAACGGAGATGAATTTATTTTAAAATAGATGATGACTGCTACCTTTTTATTATTGTAGATGAGATAGTGATGGCGGGACTAAAATCAGCTTTCTGTTGAAATGGCCCAAAGTGAAGACCTAGTCAAAGCCAATTCACACCTATTTGACATTTTAAAGTTAACTACCGTAACTATTGTCATATTGAAACTTTTATTTAGAATATGGATATTCCGTAATCTATACAGAGCTCGCATAATAAAATGCATCCGTCATGTCGTTCGTGTCGCCTGACACATAAGACAGCGGTCCCGGACACAATGACAGCTGCTCCCGGGCCGAGGGAAAATAACAGAGAAAACCAACTGTTCACACCTTGAAATCGATTTACGTCAGCGGGATAAATTAAAGCGTTCTGCGTTATCGGACAGCCAAGGACCATTCAGCGCAGCAGTAAAGTAAATAAAAAAACATCCGTCGCGAGTACCCAGCCTCCCAGTTTCGCACTATTATCTCGCGCGGGCCAATCCGCGCGCCCGCCCGGCGCCGCGCTGCCTCATTGGCCACCGCGCGCCCTCGCCCGCCTCTCGCGCGGCTGCCCCGCCCAACACAAAAAAGTTTCCATCGCAAAGCTCTACCTGCCCCGCGAGACCCTGCGTAGTCGCATCTCTGACCTCAGGAATTTCGTAACAAACCCATTTACCGTGACCGCGGACCCAATCTTTCCATTAAAATCACGCTTCTTATCAATACTTGTATCATTAAAACCGTTAAAGATAACCCTATCTCTATCGCCTGCTACGATTTCATACGTGCCAGACAAGGACGGCCGATTTAAGTTTTAGGTGTGGTTATGAAAAAATACGTGGTCGCGATCAGTGTTCGTCCGCTGAGCTGACGCGCGGGCGTGCGGTAACGCGCGGTGCGGCACGAGCGAGTTTAAAATTCGATCGCTGCGAATTCCGGGACGCCAATCCGTGCGATCTCCTCGATCCGGCGTAGTGATGTGTGTGATGTAAACAGTTGATATCGATAGACGGTTACTGTGACAAACATGATGACTATGGACGTCGGGATGTATAACAACCAGCAGAACGGTTACAGCGCAGAGTACTACCAGCAGGGAGCGGCGTACCAGCCTGCTTACGAGGGCTACCACGAGGGTTACTACGAGGCGCCGGGGCACTACTACGAGCCGCTGCTGCACGGGCAGCCGGCGCACGAGCACCCCCCGACGCCTGTCATCAGCACGGACACTGGTTTATGTTACACGAATCTGGACTATGGGGAGCTGCAGCCGAACTATCCGATCCACTCGCTGCCCCCTCACGCGGAGTCGTTCAAGCACAGAGAAGAGGTTCTGAGACACGAGGACATGCACGTCCACGAGCACAAATTAGATAATCACTACTTAGAAACGAAGTATAACATGCATTTTGTGGATGAGACGTCGATGCAGTACAACCATGCGGGGTCGCCGCTGCCGTGTGCGGAGTTCGAGCACTACCAGCCGAAGGAGGAGTTCGGAGGGCTGCGGGAGGGCTTCCCGCGGGACGGGGACTGCATGCCCCACGTCGGGCACCAACCCCACGCGTCCCACACCACGGTCCCTACGTATAAGTGGATGCAAGTCAAAAGGAATGTACCAAAACCTAGTGGTAAGTGATTTTAACATTATGACAACCCTATTTTTTGCTATAGTTTCAAGTCTTTCGACAGCGAATGGGTTGAATAAATTACAATCTTTTCACACAATTATTGACACGAAAACCATAATATTTTTTAAAAATAGCCTGACTTCGTAAAACATAAATTAACAGCATTAACCGACGTCATTATGAAAAGCAACCAAAGTAAATCTCACCCCTTAATCTTGGGTTAACTACCCCCAAATTGAAACGAATTAAGCGGCGAATCACTTCATTCTCCACTTAATAGCGGCTCGCTTTCATTAGGGAAGGAAGCAATTATCCACTCATAGCCAACAGTAGGAAGAGATTTGGCTTATTTAAATACAGGGTGTGTTGTGTTTTGACTAAAATAAAGTGTAAAGTAATAACTACTGAAATTAAATTTCAGTGTTTTTAGAATTGAACAGGTTTAATCGTAAGTAACTTGTATGTAGGTAGAGCAAGCGATAATAATATGGAGTGCAATTTTCTTTTATGTTAAGTAGGATTAACGATGTTGAACTATCCCAGCTTATCCTTAAATGGATAAAGGATTGTTATTAGAATTTTTGCAATTATAATGCATTAAGTGATAGCATTATGAATGCGAATGCAAAAACAGATGACTTTTCATATGGAACTTGAACCCTCTTCTTCTAACGCAAACAGGTTGTACAAGTTCATATCAAACAAAACAACTGCATACAGGAAGATTTAATGAAGGCTACTGACAACGCCATTCTTGTGGCGGAGTTTTGGCCAGACGCTGTGTAGGTTTTTTGTCGACACGACAAGAAGAATAAGTTCATATCGTAAAAGTCTCGACCGATTTGCCAATAGCTCTACTTTATATCAATATATTTATTTGAAAACAAATCAAAAGCTCTAGCGCCTCACTAAAAGTACATTCAAAACATAAACATGCTAGCACTCGTAACAAGATGCTGCGTCCAGATATCTCGTCAGCGTGCCGACGTCACGTCGACGGAGGTGACGGCGCGTTGTGACGGCCGCCGTCACGGAGTCAGGGGTTGTGACTTTTGTGACTCCAGCTAGCCTCCGGGAGAGGCCAATGGTCAAAGCTGTTTTGTTTTATAGGCCGTAGAATGAGGCTACTTACTGATTGTGAGAATGTCTCTATGAATTTTTTTGTACGAATGTTTTTATCAAAGAAAAACGAGACGAAGAAGTTGCTATATTTAAGTCCTGAAATTTGTCTATTACTCTTTTTTAACAGTCAGTCTATTACATTCAATGAGATGTTGAGCAAGTGAACCTAATTCTAATTATAACACTTAATTTATATTGACTCTACATTTTATTTTCTTCTTAGTTTTTTAGTAATTTGAGTTTTTTGAGTAACCATGGTGCTTACAACAGTGCCGAAATATCGGAAACTCAAAATTAAGGTTACATGGTAGCAATCCCGTCAGTAATAATAACTGTTTGAGTAACTGTTTATGAGTAACTATTTACACTTTATTGCACATAAAAGGAAATAAAGAAGTTCTGGAATTAATGCATAAGATAGACTAGTTATTATTATAATTATTATGTGGAAGCGGTGCACATAAAAAATCATTATGCAGCGAAAAACTAGAACGATTTATTAATACATAATTGTAAATATACTATTCAAACGACTTTCAGTTAATTAGGTAAAAAAAGATGCCCGTCTTGGATTATTCCCGATGGAAAATAAAAGAAAATCTATATCCAACGTGGGCGACAATATTATTGTGAGTAGGAGCATGCTGTGTGAGATGACAGAAAGGAAATGAATCAAACTGCAATTGTCGTAACCCACGCTTTGCAAGGACTGCTCTACAAATGAAAAAAAAAACAAAATAAACGTCTCCAAATGTCCAATAACCCTATGGTTCTTACTTCTTGGCCATTTATTGATATGTATTGATTGGTATCTAGGTATATACCATGGTAACAGATCAAAATGTAATTTTAAGTATGCATCTCAAACTATTAATTCTCCTTATAATGTTAATTTCAAGCGATTGCAGACACGAGTAAAATGTATCCCTAATCCATCTTGCACCCTTCACCTAAAATTATTTGCCTTTAACATAAATAATTACACCGCGAAATTAATTGCGACCAACGCCGATCGTATATCAATAACAGGTAAATTAATGAGCAACAATTTGTTGTAGCTTTAATGGGAATTAACGATCTTTATATTATAACGAATTTTCTATTAATACGGCTAGGACAGACAGACAGACGCGTAGATGTAAGCGATAAAACGGCCGACATGACAGGCGCGCCCGACCGCGCTAGAGTTTAATTTTCAATTCCAATTGGTTTATTTCTTTTGTGCAATTAAAAATATGGAAAACGGCAAGTTTATTCGACTAAAGATTGTTACTTTATGTTAATGTGCACAAGGAAAGAGTTAGAAGTTCTAACGTAATGAGGACAAAAAACTAAAACTAATATCAAATACAATATCATAATCATAAGTGCCACTTGTGGTCTAAACTGAATAAATATTTTTGATTTTGATTTTGATTTTGATTTTGAAATATAAATTTTTATGTGTTTTAAATGGACGTTAAAGTACTTACTGTCGGTATTGTCTTTTATAAAGTGCAATAACAATAAATGCTAAGTTATAAATAGCGTTTTTAAATGCCGGCAAAGTAAGACACTTAAATTCAAATCAATAGGCTAAGTTTAGGATTATTTAATTAGCGTCCAAAAAACATGCATATGCAAACATAATTATTCTCAATTATTTTGAGGTCTGAATGGACAATATTTTTTAGAAATTAAAGCCAATTTGAGCTTAGCTTAGCTCAAATTACAATAAGATGATAATAAGTTATTAAAAGGTGCAAAAATTATAGAATAGCCTCTATAATACCTAGTATTCTATTGCTCTACTAATGATCGACTATACAAATACCCAACTGATTGCTAACCCATAACCGCATGTAATAACACCACCCAACAACGCCAACTACCGCTAATACACCAATTCAAACAGTTTACCAGCCGACATGCGCTGCCCCGCGGCTTTCCTCGGAAACCCCGCGATTCCAACTTGCGTGCAATTACAAAAACAAATACAGATAAAAAAGCAACATGGAGGATTAGGTAAAACGGAACGCGGCCCGTGGTTGCGTGTAACGAAACGTGTCGTGGGGCTCGCGTAAAAAGGAACGTAAGTGGACTATAAAAAGAAATTTACGCTAATAACATCGGTGATACAGGGAAATTCGGATTAAGCGTGATGAAGCCATTAGTGGAGTAAGCTTAGAATGTCTAGTTTATTCAGAACATCTAAATCTATTTTAAAAAATTAAGCTTTAGATAGGACTTGAACCCACGACCCTTCACATGTCAGGTGACTGCTCTTACCTACTACACTATAACCAAATTGCCCTTTCAAAATAATTGCTAATGGTTTATCATTTCATCAATGTAAGGTAGCTTGTACATTTGACAGATTTCACTTCTGAAATAAATTGTACAGATATTTAGTAGGTAATATAAATTTTAATGTGTTCAAAATTCATTAACCAAAACTTATTTGATTTGATTAAACCGGTTCGAATTTGCAAAGCTTTAGTATGTGATTTAGTCCCAAATTCATTTTCTTTATTAAAGCTATCAACCTAAATCGTCGAAAGTTCTTGTGCGATAGACATTCAAAATTTTTTTCAGAGGTCTGTAATTCGCGAAAAATTCAGTGTTTCTGTAATATCTTTAAAAGATCTGTTGATCGAAAGAGGTTTCAGCGATCCCTTACTAGGAAATGCCAGTCAGTCTTAAAGCTCCATTACAAACGCAACTAATTGATACTATTATTATTCTAGTCGTAGCATTGTCATTGATTAACATAAGTATAATAGTCGAATAGAAAAAACTCTGTTGGAAATGGAAAACTACAGGATGTTATAGGCTAATACCTCTCATAACATTTAATACCCTCAACAAGACAGGTGCAGCCAAATAAAAACTTGTAAATTACATCGCAAAGTCTAGCTTATTCTTTTAGCTACGAGAAGTAACGATTTCCATAATTGCTCATAATTTCAATTGTAATTGAAATATTTAATTACCAAAATTAAGTACAGTCGTAATCAAACTGAAATGAAGCGCACATAAAATCGTTTCCAGCATACTTTGTAATGTTTTTATTTGTTTTTAATTAGCTTGGAACTGCATTCTGCCGCAATCGAATGGCCATATAAATTGTAAAATTAATGAACTGAGAATCATAACGTATGGTATATCGATCGCGATAACCCTCGGTTGTGAAAAAATGCAAATTAGAATCCTACTTTCTATTAGGAAAGAAAATGCTGTCAATTTACTACTCGATAACTTATGCTTTCTTACATTTTCCGCAATTCGATATTTTAATTATTTTTTTCAACTATTTTATTGTAATTTGAGTTGCAAAAATTAATAAGGTCTGACTTTACCCTGGTATCAGACTTTATGAACTAAAGGTTTTTTTTACTTATTAATATTTGGGAAAAATATTTAATTTAAATAATTTTCATACACAAAATTATCTGAATCAATACGCGAAACAAAATGTAATAAGATAAACGATATTTTCCAAGTGCAACCCAGTTTGTGAATAGAATTTGTGGTGTTATAATATAATTTAATTTGAATTGAATACTACAGCTTTACAAAGCTCGTAATGATTTTAAGCTAACAATGTAGCACATTCACGGTGGTCCCATTAGGAATCGTAAAACGGTAGTTAAGTACTTCGATTCCCGCAACAAACTCGCGCTCTAATGGGATACTGTTACGTTTATTATGCTATTTCATTGCAATTATATTACTGTAGCTCATATAGCAGTATTTAGAGTAACTTTAAAGCGTTCTTTTTGAGTTATATCTCATTTGCAACTTTAATTAAATATTCATGAATTTTAACACAAAGACAGAAATACCTAAAAAAAAAATGTTATATATGCAGGCATAATGAAGAAATTGGCAGTTTCAAT